AGAGAGAGAGAGAGAGAGAGAGAGAGAGAGAGAGAGAGAGAGAGAGAGAGAGAGAGAGAGAGAGAGAGAGAGAGAGAGAGAGAGAGAAAGAGGGGGTAAGAGGGGGGAAGAGGGAAAGAGAGAGAGGGAGGAGCTTTAACAAGGCAAGAATGTATATGGGTGTAAAGCAGCAGGTATCTGTGGCATCCCTGCTGAACTACAATAGGCTGGTGGTGAACCCATGATTTTTGGAGTGAGTGCTGTCCTGGCTAGTCATGATCATCACTCTCTGGAAGGGGAAAGGGGATTGCAGCATACACTTGCACTTCTTGCAAGGCCAGAATAGACTGTATTCTTATGCGTCAAGTCATGTGTTTGGTTCTAGGCTTCTCACAGCCTACATTGACCTCCTCCTGAGACAGAGAAATCCCAACAAAGATTATTGGTAAGCTTTTATACAGATACTGAAAGTGCTGTAAAGTGTGGTGGGGCTTGTCCAGCTTCCTTCCTGTATATTCAGGAGACCCAAGGTTGTGTTCTTGCATCAGTTCTGTCAACACTTATGTGGATTGGATAATGGGTAGAGCTATCATCTAAAATCATAGTGGAGCAATGCTATGGTCAGTATCATGTTCACTGACCTTGACCTTGAGGTCTCTTAGACCAAGACCAAGATTTAAGACTATGGGGGCTTGCTAGGAAAACATGCTTGCAGTGAGGACACTGAAGTAACACAGAGGTTAACATGGTATTGGTATTGTAGTCCATGATTCTGGGCTGTTAGACCAGGAAGTCAGTGGACGGATTGGCCTGGCAACAGGACTTGCCTAAGAAAAGTATTTGGAGGTGCTGGTGTTTATCTTTACAACCTGATATTGGCAGCTTTGCTGATATTGGCAGCTTTGCTGTATAGAACCTGTTATTTGCACCATATGGGATTGTTAACTTTGGCTAACTGGACATGTTGCACAACTTCCTGAGGTTGATTCTGCCCACAAAGTTGTCTCCCCTAGAGATAGCCCTGGATGTTGGAGGCATGTAGGAAACCTAGGAATGATTGACTGAGAAAATCTATGCAAAAAACAAGAATAAATGAGACTCCTAGAGGAAAAGTTACATTTGCAAAAAATATATTTAAAAGATTCCCAAAGAAAAACCCAAAGATAATAAAGGTGGGCTTATCAACCATGGGGGAAGCTTATCAAGGCTTAAGGTTGCAAAATATGCAAAGTGCAAAGAAAAGTTGATCTGCTAGAGAGCATGATAAGCATATTTTCACAGAACCACTTGGGGGGGGGGGTCAGACTCTTCTTACACCTGCCCGTGCATTTGAACTCAGCTTATTTTTTTCTAATGCATAAATTTATTACAATTCTATAAGGATTATAGTAAATGAAATATGTAAACATTTGAGGGATACATGACAATTCACAATTCTGGGGGGAGTAAATCTATGGTCAAATAACTGTCTAGAGGTGGGGGGGAGGGGGAGGAAATTCTTGGAGGCAAAAATCACATATTGCTGTAAATTTCCATTTTTACCCTTTTTAAGGGAAGACTGTCCCATTAAGAAAGAGATTTAAAAAAAGCAAGATGAACTGCATTAGAGCTCTCCATGTCTTGATATTTATTAGAAAAAAAAAAAAAAAAAATCTGAAATATTTTTATTCCATATTTCAGGTATGAGCAGATCTACAAGGCCACTAATGGTCCACTGTCAAAATCTGCCAAAACTAGTGGCAGTGTAGGAGGTAAGAGTGTTTCAATTTTATGTGTGCATGTGTGTACAGCTACACAGAAAACTATTGTTAGAAAACCATGCTAAACATTCTGATGCAAACAACAATACTTTATGAAATATAATTGTTAATGCTAGGAAATTGTGGCTACCCCTGATTTTCAAACTACATTAGGGTATGTGTGGTAAATCACCAAGTAAGAGGTTATAAATTTGCAGGTAATTTACAATTTTGTATTGTAATACTTTGTCACTAATCAATTAGCTTTCTTATACTTGTTTTAATGCTGGGTCAGTTGTCATAATACAAGAGAAGACAAGTGATATGACAAGTGCTACTCATGCACATTATTGCTGTTATATTACCTAATGAGTATTGACATATTCCATCAAGAACAACAAGGAAATTAAGATATTTAGTTTATTTAAATTTAATATATTGTGTGCCCTCCCCCCTGCTGCCAAAACACAGTTCAAGCATCAAGGCATACCACCACAAACTCAGCTTTCAATACATAGCCTTCTTCACATTGAAGACATTCCCATGTTTTCAAGGCATTATTCACAATTGTGAGGGTTTTGCCACATATGTTTTGACATGGCTGCCCACACGTTTTCATTTGGGTTGAGATCCAGAGATCTAGGTGGCTGTAGCAGTAATGTGATGTCAGGGTATTTACGAAACCAATCCTCGACAACACAGCTGGTATGAATGGGGCTTATTTTCTGTATAACACAGAAGGGATCTGTTTCAGGAAACACCATATCCTTAACTTTTAGAAGGAAAACCTCCTCAAGGATTTCAACATAACAGCCAGGATATCTGCCAACTTGCGTGCATCCACCCTAACAACCCTGCAGTGATTCGGTCACTCCTGCATGCAATTACATTTACTGGTTCAAATACATTAAATGATGACACTACATTAGATGCAAAAATAGATATGAAAATGTTTTAGCATTCATTTCTATTTGAGCAAACACCTTTCTTTAAAATATTGAGGAAAGGGGAGTTGAAAATAGGGGGGAGGGGGACGGTGTCTTTACCAACCTGGTGTTTTTGTTAATGCCATACATGAATATCTTGGGAGCATTGATACCTACAGAAAAAAAAAAGTTTTCTCGTCACAGATTATTATTATATCCTAGAAGGCCTATGACTTGTCTACATATTACAAGGCATATCCCATCCTTTTCAGGAATAAGATTGTCTTGTCAAAATGAATCCATAGGAATTCCAGAACAGCAATTCAGTACATTATGAACCAGACTGACACCAATTTGAACTTCAAAATACCAATCCTTCCATAACAAAAAGTTGTCTTTGTTATTGAATGTTTCGACACCCCACCTTACAATAGTTTTGTGTATAGCTGTACACAAGTGCATCTGCATCTGTGTCTGAATCAATGTCAATGTGTATGTACTAGCATCTATGAGTGTGTGTGCCTATTTGGCATTTGTCAAAATTGATGCAATTGTTAATTCAATGTCTCTGGGAAAAATGTGAGTTCACTCTAGTATTGTTTTGTGAAATGTCTCTACTAGTGCTTAGCCACAAAGGAATCAATGAGTACACTTCATGACCTCACCCAATTTCACCTTTCCTTCAGTTTATGGGATTTTTTTTTTTTTTTTTTGGTTATTACTATCAATATTGATTACAGTGTTATACTACTAAGAGCAATATTAGATATCAGAAACTATGCTTGAAAATCAAGGAAAAGGGTAAACAGGTGAGACAAGTAGTACTCATAATTAGCTCATTGGTGACTTCAGACTTGTGGAGTCATCCATGTGTAAAATTATTGAACTAAACTCAACAGTGGACATGGCACATACATACATGCCATCCCTGGCAGATTTGGGTTAAGGATGAAAGTGCTTTCTCTGATTCTTGGAAAGCAAATTAAAAATTAGTATTTATTGCATCTTTAGTGAAAATACAATATTTCTTTTCAAGTTACCAATGAAGTACCATTTTCTTTACAGCTCCTCTGGTTCTGATTCAGAGGTCTAGTTTCTGCCTGGATTCTTCCATTGAGACCGACCCACCTACAGTTCCTAGACGATCAAAAGAAATCTACAGCAATTTTGTTGCCATGGCATATAGAGGACCTCAACCCCCAGCAAATAGGGACCTCTTAATGTATAGAAAGTTTGCTAGCTTCTCGTAACATTTTTGTTGGCCATCCATTGTGATCATTCAGTCACTTTGTTCTGTACATTATCCTATAATGGGGCACAATTACATACTTCATTTTAATACATTTAATATGGTTGAAATAACATTGCAGCAATTTGGAAATTTTAGATTATCTTTTTCAATTACTTTTGATTTAAAGTTACCTTATTACATGGCTATATTTTGAACCAGTTTATCACAGCTCCTCTAGAGTTACATAGGATTTCATACCAAAGATTTTCAATATTGTAACAATTACAATGTAAAAATTCCATTAACTGTGTAACAGAGCCTTATATACCAGTTGTAAAAATAAATGCTTATTAATTTCTATATTTCACTTAACCCATAAATGAGTTCTTGAAGTTAGAATATGTATTACACCATTTTTGGGATTTTATCATGAAACAGTGATAAAAAAACATGATTCACCTCTCAAAGGAATTCAAAATATGAGTGACCAATTCAGAAATGTGGGAATTAAATATTTCAAAGAAATCCATACTTTCTCCAATTCAATTTTGCAAAATGGGGGGGGGGGGGGGGGGGGGGGATTATTAACCCAAAGGCGCCGGGTGTACAAAAAAAAAAACTACGCTTAAACAAAGGCATCGCGCCGACTTTGAGCGCGTGAGTAGGGGACATCAGCCCGAATCACTGGCTCGCCGCCGGCTCATTTGGCTGCACGCCAGCTTTCGAGCTCTTTGTTTACACGCCGATCGGCGTCACCCGGCACCAAGGGGTTAACACATTGCCGCCGGGGAAAATGAACAAAAAATGGGGGAAATACAGTACTCATTTTTCATATTTTTGTGAAATATGTCTATCCATAGATGGCTCTGCTAGTCCTGATTTCACCTTTCCTTGAATTGGCGGGAAAAAACGTATTCTTACTAGTGCTATAAAAATAGATGGTGATATTTTTAACAGCAAATTAGGATAATGTTAAATATTTTCGTAAATCAATGAAAAGGGTGAACGGGCGAGACATGCAGTACTGTAATTGGCTAATTGGATACTTAGTACAAGTGTAGCCATCTATGTGTAAAAATAGTCGACTCACATAATCCATTGTATAAAGTTTCAAAGAAAAACTAATACAAATATATATTTTTTATTATCAGTACACAAATTATATCCCCTTTATCATTTTACATTCATTCTTGGATCATGTCTTCCAAACCTCCAAAATACTAAAAATCCACATGAGTTATGGGATGTAGAGACTTGCTTGCAAGCCCAAAGCCCTGTGCTGTCTTCCACCTAGCTTTCAGTTATATATTCATGCAGTAGAAACGATTCTTACAAGGCAGGCTGGTAATTTAGGAATGTGCATGTGAAGTAAACGACGAGTACTGTTTTTTTTCCCTTGCATATCTGAAAATACAAAAGCTACATTTAGTACATTTACAGAACAGTTATGTCAATGCATTACCATATTCTTCAGAAGGAAAAGCTACAGCATGATTGTGTTGTGGGTAAGCAACCTCAGTAGAGGGAACCTTTTCCATATTCATCATTGAATTCAATATAAAACAAGGGAACAGCATTCACTATGACTTCACTTACTGATAATTTAAGTAATGAACAAGGACTTTCTGAAAATACAAAAGCTATTTAGTACATTTACAAAACATTCATCATGTTAATGCATTTCCATATTCCTCAGAAGAAAATCTACAGCATGGTTGTGTTGTGGGTAAACAACCTCAGTAGAGGGAACCTTTTCTATTTTCATCATTTTACACAAAATATGGGAATATGTATCATGAATTTACTAATAATTTCAGTTTAAGCACGTACATTTAGCACCAACTCCAACTTTTTATAATTAGACTCCTTGCAAAGTTGATCATTCACACAATGGAAATTAACAATATTGTATTGGAGCTTATGGCATTTAAAATATCTTTATTATATAGACATGACCATAAGGATTTTGTGTATACTACCAATTATCTAAGAATAAATAAAAAGTTAACATACCAATTCAACATCAAATTGGAATGGACACACTGACGATGCATATATAAAATGTATCTTCAGTTACGCAGCTGTACAATGCCAGACCCCCTGGAAAAGAAGAAAAAAAAAAAATATTTTAATACATTTAAATTAACATACATCTTAATACACATTCATTTTTCTCAGAAGGAAAAACTACAGCACGGTTGTGTTTCGGGTAAAAACCTCAGCAGAGGGAACCTTTACCATTTTCATCATTTCATTCTATATTTGATTTGAGAACATTAAAAAAAATTCACTTACTGATAATTTCAGTATATGTTTGTAGAACCCCAAATTTTGGATGGATCTGCAATACAAAAATATTTTGTAATGGGAAGATGTTCACCACATGGTGAATTTCAGATACAGCTCTTAAAAACTTCTGATATTTTTTTCTCAATCTGCCAACCAATTAAGGTTATGAATGGACAATAGACAAATGGATATGCTAGATAACCCACAATTCTATATTGTCACATGAAAAAGAATCAGCAAGTTAATAAAACTGTCTGCCCAATTAATCTACATGTAAATCAAATAAAAATTACAGCAAGACTACTGAATGAAAGTCCCAAGATGGGAAACCTACAGACTGAACTATTTCTACAAGTAAGAACCAAAGGATCCTTGTACTTAATAAGTTAATCAACAAAACATTATGAACTAAAT